GTAGCCTGTCACATGGGATAGCACAGTTCAGACAAGACTCCTTCAGATTCCGAGATGCCTACCGGTTGTTTTTGGGCTTCTTTTTTGTTTTGTTTTGTTTTTTTACAGCAGCAATAACCACAGCACATATTACTGTAGCTCTTTGTAGTGTTACGTTCAGACACCATAGCTCTGTTCTTTCTTCTTTTTTGTTTTCAACTTTAAAAAAAAAAATGCGTATACTTTTTACTGGTGAAATGGATGAAAAAAATAAAAATAAACAACAAACCAGTTTGTGAAAAACAAAACGTGGGAAAAAAAATCACCCCCAATGTGGAAGAGCTCGGCTCCTGTTTAGCATTTTGTACTTAAGGAAATAAAAAAGAAAAACTCAGAAGATCTCACTTTTTATTACAAAGTGAAGATTGCTGTATTCTATTTATTCAACATATAATTTATGCTACTCCTTGATCTTTGTCTTTTGTCATGACAAAGCATTTATTTAATAAAGTTATGCATTCGGTTAGCTTGCGTCGCCTTCCTCCTGGGGCAGAGGGCTCTCTGAGCACCCAGGCTGCCAACAGGAGGGGAAGGAGAAAAGAGCCAGACCTGTGCGCGTCCTCCAGGGGGCGCCTGAACGGAAGAAGGCCACACCACGCAGACCGCAGCCCCCAAGTCCAGCGGGTACCTTCACCCAACCTAAGTCACCACTTCCTTGAACTCTCTGTGTCCCTGCACTGTGGGTTCAGCCCTACAGAGCTGTTGAGACTCCGGGGAGCCAAATTAGACAGAAACCGCACAGTACCGTGAGCACACACGTGTTCTACAGTGGTCGCTCTAATTTAATCTCTGCCACTTGTCAGCCAGCAAAGTACGCTAAACCCATCCTTAGGCAAATCATGAGGGAATGCCAAGGGGGACATTTCTAGAATGTTCCTCGGCCCTTTGCAAGTTCTTAACACGTGGAAACCTCTGGCCCCGGTGAATCCTACGTTCAGCCCCTCCCAGGCACCTATTTAAGCCCGGGCAATAGCAAAGTTATGAATTGACTGCTCAAGTTTGACCACACCCTCTGCCTCTGCCTCGGTTTCCCTGCGGCTTTCCTTCCCAGGTTCTTTCGGCCCTTAGGCTCTTTGCCCAGTTCTCCATGGCCCATATTCATCCTCAGAGACACTGCCCCGTAAGTGTCAGGCCTACCTGGCCCTGCCCAGCTGGGGAGGTGACGGTGACCTCATTCAATGCTGGGGCCCTCGGGAGGTGCTAGTGTCCAGCCCTGGCAGTCGTGTGGTAAGTGGGACCTTGCTTCTGTCTGTCCACTGGTCCTTTGCGAGGCATCGAAAGTCTTCCCTGAGGCTCCTCAACGCTCCAGGTCACAGAGCCAGGGCCCCAAACACTGTGTTTTAGGATGCAGGCAGTTCTGCGGAGAGGGAACGGGTGCTTTGAACGAGGGTGTGAGCAGAGGACGCTGTGGGTGGCTTGCCACCGTCGAACGCCTGGGATGGTCTCCTGGCTTCTCCATGAGCCAGTGCTCACCCTACTATTGAAGATGCAGCGTCTGGAGCGAGCAGGAGCCGAGAATTTCCGCCCAGTTCCTCCTCTTCAGGGCTCATCTCCCTGGGGCCACGTGAACCCCTCCACTCCACGTTTGAAGGGTCTCTCCAGACCCTTCAAACCCTCCTCTTCTAATTCTCCACCAGCACGCATCCAGTGGCCAGTTAGCAGCCAACCTCTTGGCTCCTCTGCACAACTCGTGATCAGGAGGCACAACCCACACAGCACATTCAGGCCATGCAACTTACCTGTACCCTCGCAGCCTGGACTCGAGCCCCGGGATGCACTCTCTCTTCCGTCCTCAGTGTATGGCTGCTGGTCCAAAACCACGTGGCTCTGTTACCCTATTCAGCTCCTCCTCCGGCCTCAATCCACTTAAGCCACACCCAGCGTCTTGGAACTTCCTTTTCGCCAATGATGATGACGTCATCACATCCAGCCAGACCCCCAGGTCCTGACTCCTCACCTAGCTCCCCATCCAGTGATCCCCGCAGCCAGCTGCTCCCTGATAATAAGGAACTCAGCCACTCTCGCTGTCTTCTCTGGTCCTGGTTTGGATCAAGTTCGATTCTGCCTGCTGCGCTCAGCTCCACCCTTCCTCTCCACGCCTCATTCTCACATGGGGCCTTCTCCGCCGCGGTTCTCTTTCTCTTACCCATCCTCGGCCTAAATTATCTCCCAGCTTCCAGCCCAAAGTTCAGATCCCTCAGGAAGACACCCACAACCCTCCTGATAGGTTTTCCCCACAACATTCCTCTTCAGCTGACCTCACACACCAAGATGCCTTCCATGTGGCTACACCACAGTGGCAGCTGCTAAAAGTCACACCTAAGTCACACCGTGCCATAGGACCAGGGGGCTGTTTCCAACATTGGAATGTGAGCACTACAATACAAAAGATGTGGAGCCGAACACCACTGAGTGTTTAGCACCACTCAGCTAAACACTCACTTTAGACCAGAAATCGTCTTCTATCCTGCAAGCTTTGATGCAGACACCATCCCAGTACTTACAGATGAGGTGTTAAAAGGTATATAGAAGTCAGAAATATGTGCAAAACCATGCAATTCATAATCGGGGACAAGCAAAATTTTCCCAGCAGCAGTTTGGGTTCCTAGCAAATCATAGTACCAAAGATACACTTAGCAGATACAACAGAGACAGCTGGGTTGTTTGGCAAGTCCAGAGGGCACAGAGAAGGGCCAGCCTCGTGGAATGTGCCTGTGACATCACTCAGAACTCCAAGCTTTGGTGCATCGCTTTCCTGTTACTGTCTTAGTAAGAACAAGACAGTATCGTTCGTCCCACGCTCTGTAAATTCAGTCACCAATCATCCCTAGAAATCACACAAGAGGAAAACATAAATATTCCCAGGCCCTCTCCACAGCCCCTAACTCAGGAATTCTGCAGGGGAGCCCCTCAGGAATCTTTCCTATGAGGCAGCACCTCCATTAGGCTTATTCGGGGTTCCTGGGCCTCCTTTTAATTAAATTTAAGGCCCAAAGGAAGTTTGGCTGCAGTTCCCAATGCCGCCACATGTAGGCAGTATTACCTCAATGTTTACTAACGGCCGCTTAAACTTTAGGCTTCTAGTGAGGTATCAGGGAACACATTCCATAGCCCCACCCAGGCAGTCCCCTCTTTCAACGAACAGGGAGCTAGCAATGGCCAAAGCAGGTTGTGGAAGCATCAAGAGCCTTCTGCAAAATGTTCTGGGAGAAAAAAACTAAGCAAGGTGGCTGAGAGCCACCTCGGTGGCCCTGAAACTTCCCTGGAAGCCCTCCCATCTGGTGCTTCCCAGCAGCCTCCCCAGGACACGACCTTGTTCCTTGAAGTTTAAAGCATGCCCAGTAGGCCCAGGGAGAAAGTGCAACACCAAGGGAATGCTTAATGCAGGGATGAGCAGCAACCCTGATCCTGAGCAAAAGGGGCCTCTGGACACTCATTTGCCTTATCTGTAAAAGGAAACTATGATGCTTTTTTTGTGTTTGCTATTCCATCCTGAAGTAGCTCTTTTCCTGGCAGGGGTCCGCTCTAGGAACCTAGTGTTCTGGCACCTGGCTAAGGTCCCAGGTGTCCCTTGACATCTCCGGATATGCTAGATGATGAAGCAGATAGGAGAAAGACTGAGAGAAGCCATTAGAAAGACCCCTGCATGGTCAGAGAGGTCGGGTAGAGACTGGAAGTCTGGCTCAGCCTTGCACTGGAAAGGAAGATGTTTGCCTTCCCCAGGGCCCACTGCCAGAGGCTGAGAAGAGTTCCTGGAAATCACTGGGGCTTCAGGTGCAAACAGAACAGTATTAGATCCCTGACACAGAATATTGCTTTAAAAAAAAAAAATCTCCCTCCCTACCCTATACTCTGTTTCCAGTCTCTCAGCCCAAGTTCTTTTCTTTTTTGAGACAGGGTTTCTCTGTGTAGCCTTGGCTCTCCTGAACTCCCTTCGTAGACCAGGCCTGCCTCTGTCTTCCTGAGCGCTGATGTTAAAGGCATGCGCCATTACCACCCAGCTAAGGGGACAGCTTTTTAGGACCCTCCAGGAGCAGCTTCTGAAAGCTCAGGAGTGACCTTTCTGAACAAGCCCGGCAACAGGATCATCAGAATTTCCTTGGGGGCCCAGGTAAAATTCCCTGTTCTGTGTGTGGTGGTTTGAATGAAAATGGCCACCACAGGCCCATGGGGAGTGGCACCATTAGGCAGTATGGCCTTGTTGGAGTAGGTGTGGCTTTGCTGGAGTAATCATGGGTGTCATGGAGTCATCATGGGTGGGCTTTGAGGTTTCAGATGCTCAAGCCAGGCCTCATCCTGCTGCCCAATGGAGAACTTCTCCAGCACCATGCCTGCCTGTATGCCACCATGCTTCCTGCCATGACGCCAATGGACCGAAAACTTCTGAACTGTAAGCCAGCCCCAATTAAACGTTTACTTATAAGAGTTGCTGTGGTCATGGCATCCCTTCACTGCAAATAAAACCCCTAAGATGGCTGGAAACTCCTTTTCTCAGGAATAAAAGAATCCCAGTGTTTCCCTTTCCTCATCTCCCCCTACAGTATCAGCTGAACTTCTTTTCCTGGTGTTGTTTTGTGGGGGTGTTGATGTAGTGGGTAGCCCAGGCTAGGCTAGACACTCAGTCTTCCTGCCGCAGCCTCTCGAATGCTGGGATTGCAGACCGTGCACTCGGTGTCTGCTGGATATTGGAAAGAAGACAGTCCTCCTCAGCCATCCATCCTCCTGTAAGAGTCAGCTGGAGGTCCAAGGGGTTAGACCTTCCTGATGGGTCACAGTAGGATCCTGGGTTCCACCGAAGGACTGGATCTGGGCACAGAAGCAGTTTTCTTGTCCCCATGTGTGGTGACAAGACAGTGATCTCCCTGTGCTTCCGGGTGTTAGGACCAATTTGGACATGAGGCTCAGTAGGCCTCCAAGGTTCTTTCGCAGGGATGCCCCAAAGACTCAAGAAAGACATACACTTTATTTTTCCTTCCTTTAATCTTAAGTAAAAGAGACACAGGGGTTCAAAAATAAAAATTTCTTTCCCCATTCCCAAGCCTGTACCCAGCGCCCCCTGTGCCACCCTTTTCCTCCCTAATAGAAGCAGGAAGAATGGAGGTACAGGTTATCCGCAGCTGGAGGGGGGGGAGGGGGCTTCTGAGCTCAGTGTTGGTCTCTTTCCAAATATAAATACATGTGTCAAGACTGGGAAATCCTCCAGACCCATCACCCAGGCATGCTCCATTTCTGCTGGTGTTTGGGTGAGGGAGGCAGGCACCAATTGGCTGCGATTTACTGCACCCTCTGGGCAGGAGCCCCACCAGTCTCCTGCTGCTCGTTGTAGAAGAGATGACACTGGGGGTCTCCCCGGATGGTGGGGGCTCCCTGGATCAGCTTCCCGGTATTGGGGTTCACACACCAGCATTCCCCGCGTTGTCCATTCAGAGACATCTTGCACTGAGGGGTAAGAAGAGAAAAAAAATATGACGAGTGTCCCCCAAAGCTACCTCCGCCTTCCCTTCACTCCAGCCCAGGGCTGAATGCAGTTCCCAGGTTCTGGGCTACTGCAGGGGCCTTTCCCAACCGTAAGTGAGCACTGGGGAGCTTGTCAAAATGCAGATTCCTGAACAGGCAGCCCTAAGATTCTGCATGCAGAAGGATGCTGCGACTATAGGCCTGGGGGGCTGTCACTCACACTGGGCTGTTGGAGACAAAGACCAGGAGATGACCCAGCCCCAGTGGGCAGACCCAGAATAGCTTAGCCATGATGTGAGAAGAAAACCCTCGTATCACAATGGAGTGTGTGCCAGGCACTGGGTGAGCAAAACATCCCAACCATCCGCTGACATCGAGTCGCAGCTACAGCCTAGCGGCACCTACATAGTCACATAATCCCCACAGCTACTGTGTGTGTCATCAATGTCCCTACTTTACAGCTATGAACCTGAAGCAAAGACTGGTTAAGTGATGTGTTATAAATGTGTAACCCGCGCTGGCTGTCCTAGAACTCACTCTGTAGACCAGGCTGGCCTCAGATCCACAAGACATCCATCTGCCTCTGCCTGTTGGGATTAAAGGCATGCGCCACTGAAGCATTTCTAAGAAGCTCCCAAGTGTTGCTAATGGCCCACGCACTGCATTCTGGGAATGACCAATTTAGCCATTGGCCAAGTAGCCAAGTAATACAGCTTGGATCTAAGGAGACGAGCTGAAATCTGAACATGGGGTGTTCCCATCCATAGTCCCTGATCTTATCATATAAGCTTCAGTAATGACTATCAGAAATGGGTTTAGTGGCTCATGAGGCACAGTACATCTGTGGTTCATTAGAGGTGATCATTATTTCTTCCAAGTCCCAACTGAAGCAATTAGCTTACACTAGGAGGGAAAGACATACAAATAGCTCTTAACACTGGAAACATATCAGGGGGGCTAGGTACCTGTGTGATGAAGCTGTTGAGGAGGCAAGAGCCAAGAAAGAGTAGTGGGGTCTTGTATCCCAGCCCCTGGCTCCGCACATCTACTAAGTCAAACCTGACTGGCCACTGGGATCACCAGGAGAATTCTGTAAAACGCCCCATACCCAAAAGATCCAAATTTCTCATGTTAAAGCCTGCCATCTAAATCTGTTAAAACTCCCCAGATCATCCCATGTGTACCCAGGTCTAAGGCAAGGGAGTTCCTGCTCACTAACATGACAGCCCAAACCACCAGTCCATGTTCTTCTTGCTCTAGAAGAGGTTGTGAGGTGAAGGAGGAAGTGAAGGGTGGGACACCAAAAAGGACATATTCATATGAGAAAGAGGGAGGGCAAAGGCTCCTGGGAGTTTGCCTAACTCTTGCTACTGACTACTATGCTTAGAACTGTATTTTCAGCATTTAATCACCAATCTTCCAGTCTCTTGAGATACCTAGACACTGGAGAGACTACCTGGCTGACGACTAAACCGGTGATTCCAAGAATACAGTTCATGGACCTGTAGCAACAAATAGGAGCTTCTTAGAAATGCAAGCTGTATGCTGGGCAGTGATAGTGTATGCCTTCAATCCCAGCAGAGGCAGGTGGATCTCTGTAAGTTCCAGGCCAAGCTGCGAGTTCCAGGACAGCCAGGGCGGTTATACAGAGACACCCTGTCTCAAATAAAAAGAAAAGAAGAAAAGGAAAGTAAAGAAGAGAGAGGGGGGAGAGAGGGGGGGAAAAGGGAGAGAAGGAGGGAGGGAGGGAGGAAGGAAGGAAGGAAGGAAGGAAGGAAGGAAGGAAGGAAGGAAGG